ACGGAGTAACCTTCCAGACCCGTAGACCCTTTTCAACCTGATACGGAAGGTGTGAGCTTGTGCCCTGGGCATGAGCATATGTGACTGAGCCGGGATTTGTGAGCTGACTATCCTTTATACCTCCATAGCTGTCAGAGCCCCACTGAATTTAATGCCTATACAGTGAAAAAGGGAATACTAAATCTTACTCCTAAGAAACTGTTGAGGATTAACTGGACAGGGATCCAAAGCCCCTGGAAATAATGTATACATATGACGTCCCTGTATTTTATTTTTCCCTTCACTATCCAAACCCAGAATAAAGAGCCCGAATGTGTTCCAGAGATTAATCACTCTATAATCAATATCTAATTTAAAAAAGAATTATATCGAAATACAGGGGCTAGAAATATGCCATTTTCTTTTGTATGTGATTCTAGTTGACTCAGGGCCTAAATGTCTAGGACATTGTCTGACCCCTCCCTTCGTCCGCTACATGACTCCACCACGAGGTAGATTGATATTACTAGAGGTTCACTCCTTGTTGTTGATGGTATTGAAACTATTTGATAAAGACTGAAACACCGACAGAGATTTAAGTGTTTAACATGTTCTATATGCAAAAAGAGTAAACATCAAATATAGATCCAAGTGAAGTAGCTTAAAGGGCATTGTTTATCATGCCGTATTTTTATTGCTAATCTCACATATATTGCTCATCCAACAGGGAAAAGGCCCCACACATTCATAAATGGCCTACAAACCAAGCTCTGGAATGAGTAATATTTAAGCCCAGCATTCATAAAGCAAGGAATAGAATTACCGAGCTGACAGAGACCATAGAACTGTCAGAGAAACAAATGCCAAACCGCCTCTGCTCAAAAATGAGATAGCTTAAGTTGAGAGGGGTGGAGTAGCCTACTCAGTCAAGCGTTAAGAGTTAGTCAGACCCATAGCTCTTCAGCCACGATTGGAGGGCTGTCTGGAAACCGTGTTCCTTGCTACCCTCTAACGAGGATGAGGGGACGAATGTGAAGTTAGGCGCTCTCAAATGTTAGAAAGGTAAGTCCCTCTGGTGCCTGAGCAGTATTTAGACTACCATGTCACTGTCTGATTTGAGAAATGCTCTCTCTCACTCTTCTGAGCCTGAATCAGCATTTCCAGGGTTCTGTCGGGCTCCAACAGTGCTATTTCCTAGAGTACTCTAAGTCAGTGAACTGCGGGGAGAGGAGCTTGGGTGTGCTGTCTTGGGTACTTGGTTGTATTTGTGCCTTTTCTCTGTAGCTTAAAAATGGATTCTCTGAAAATCCTCAAATCCCTCTGCCGTCCTGCTCTCCAGTAGGACGCGAGCATCCATCCTCCGAAAGTGAAGCTTGCTCTTTTTTAGGCACAGCCTGCATTAAACCATCAAGGATGCCTACGAAAAAATAAAATAAAACAAAACAAAACAAAAAAAAAAAACAGCTAGGAACACCCATGAAAAGAGGAGAAAAACGATGCCCTTTCTGAAAGAAAGGAAAACCCAATGGACCTAGAGAAATTGCTGTCCATAATATAAGAAGTAGCAAGGTCATAAAAACGTGCACTCGGGGAAGTAATGCAGTGCGAACATTAGGCCAACGACACATTTTTCTTATGTCTCTCCACCAGTTTGCCCCAAAGCAGCTGCAAACTGATGCTTGCAGGTCCTTTTCAGAAAAACAATGCCTTCCTGGCTGACTCTCAGTGCTGGACAGGGGCTTTCAGAAAGCCACGTGCAGCGGCAGAACGGCTGCCTACAAAGACGAATCGACACGCCTGTCACCAACTTAGGTTGAAAGAATTCCTGAAACAAATGAGCAAGTCCAAAGCCAAAATAAAGGGGGAGCCTAATTTTATTTTTTCGAGAGAGTCTTACTTGGCCTAGGCTAGCCTTGACCTTAAAGATAGTCTTAAACCCTGATCCTCCTGCTTAAACTTCCCAAGAACCAATGTTGCAGGCATGTAGCCATACTCTGTGTATCATTTCTGAGAATGAACACTAAACTACCTGCACACTAGGCAAGCACTTGACCAACTGAGACACACACAGCCTTCACCCCAATTTCCACAATGATTCCCCATCTCTCTGAACGGCTGCACGTGATGCAGGACGTGAAATGAAAAGGGGCTCAGGCCACTGGACGGACACTCGGGTCCAGATGTCCCTAACCCCTGGTAAAAGGATACCATAAAAGGGGTGAGACCCTAGATGGGGTACGGCAGTGTCTGCCTAAGATGCTACTGAGGTCTTCTGACAAAGGTCTTAGAAAAGCTGCAGGTAGTCTTTGGCTGGGAGAAGCTGCTGAACCCAACAGGCAGAGGCTGGGTACAACCTTCACTGCATCAGAGACGGCTTTGTGCCCATCCATAAGGGCCAGGGCCAGCTGGTCCCAGCGAGTTACCTGCTAAGTGAAATGCCACAGAATCCTACTTACACTTTCATGTTTGCGGAATTCATCTCTTATTATACAATGTGTGGAAGCCTTCCATGCACCAACAGCAAGAACGGTTGGCCAGTTATAATTCTGAACTAACGTTTTCATTTTCAGGTGATAATTTGAGTCATGAATTCTTTGTGTGATATTTCTGTATTTATATATGTGTGTGCATGTTTGTATGTTGGTGCATGCGTGCCATGGCACATGTGTACAGATCAGAGGAGTCCATCTTCCTCCATGCTTGAGACAGGGTCTCTTGTTCATCTCAGCTTATACTACCCTAGCAGGCCTATTTGGGGGACTCTCCTGTCTCCCATCTGTTAGGAGCACCGGTGTTAGAAAGTGCCACTGTACCAAGCTAAAGATGCTGGGGGTTCAAACTCTGGTCCTGATGATTGCACACCAAGCACTGTACCCACCTAGCCATTCCCCAGCCCAAAGAGTATAAATTCTAAAATGCTCTTCGAACTAGACCAAGGCATAAGATCAGCATTTGGTTGTGGATGCAGGATCATCAGCCATGTGATTTTCTGAACTACTTGTCTAACTTCAGGCTCCAGCCTTTAACAAGTCTTCCAAGGGGAAAATGGGAGCATAATGTAAAAAGGTCACAAATATTTCTGATAAGAATGTTACTAGACTTTGAAATAAATATAGCATGGCTAACATAAAAAAAATGACGTATAAACCTCTTAAATGTCAAAAGGCAGGGTGTAATGACTTGGATATTTTATTTTGACTTTACATGCGGTGTTAAAAACCCAAAGTACATATTATTTACACATCCACAATACAAGTTTACAAGATATCTATACATGTTAAAGTACTCTATAAAAGAGTATAGAGCCACTTCACTTTAGGGTTATTTTTTTTTTATGCCGTACCATTAAAAAAGATACAATCTGTGTTTACCTTTGCACAAATGGATAAAGCATTTAAAAATTAAATTAACAGAATAGAGACTAAACTCCATGTTAGAAATTTCAACATAAATACTGATAGAACTCACAGTACACTCTAAGGCAGCACAATGTTACAAGATGTTAGCGGGGTCACACAGAGTTACCACGCTGGGATTAATATTTGTAAGGTAAATGCAGACACATCGTGGGTGGCAGACTGTGTAGTGCTTACTGTTGGTTGGTTTAATTGATTAAAGTGTAATATTTTAGTTGCAAAGCTGAAGTAGTTTGAGAACAGGTGTTTCAGCTTTTAAGGAATCAATGTTTTTTTTTTTTCTCTCTCTAGAAAAGAATATTCTTGAAGGAAAAGACCAACTCCATCAATATTCTACATTGTGTATAAAAACGACCTGGTGTTCTGCACCCGTTCCTCCCCGCAAGTAATGCATGCCATCGTCACTGTCCCAAGATAGCGGCTGAACCCTACCTGACTGGGTCAGGAGCCTTCCTCAGCTGTGGTACTTTCTGACTAGGTTGGACAAATGACCGACTGATGTGCAGTGGGTTAACCAAAGTTGTCAGTAGGCTGCACACACCATCAGCCTTCAGTGGGCTCTGCCAAGCTACGTGGAGATGGCGTTAGAGACATGGTTTCCGCAGGTGCCACGTTCCCTGGGAACCCTCATCTGACTTCACATTTCCAGAAGAGCAGGGGTGGAATGTTTATCATGACAAGGGCGGGTGCTGCTTCTGATTCCGGTGCGTGGGGGACGGGGAGGGGGCGGGGGCGGGGAGAGTTCAACAACAAATTGCTCGAGGTTGCTTTCTGACTTTGTAAGAAGTCATTGGGCGCTGGCTGAAGAACATTTACAACTGGCACATGGGAAATGATGCGCTAATAGTGGAAACACTTCACATACTGCAGAACTTCTACCACTCTCGTGAATAAGGCACAAGATGCACAGATCCGGGTAAACTCACATGTGGTATTTACAGTTCACTGTCACTGCCTGCATGACTCAGGAGAGCATCATCAGAACACAGCACAGAGGACAGGGCGGCACCAGTGTGGGCTTTAAGGCCCTCCCTGGTGAGCCGACTACAATTCCTTTTCCATCTCTTTCTTTCGTCCTCTGTTTTGGTTTTCTCTTTTTGTCTTGGGGGAAGCAAGGGTGAACAGAAGAAAATTTTTTGCTATGCGGAAAATAAAAATAACACAATCAAAAAAAACACTTATGAGTGTGTCGAGGGTTAGGTAGCTTTGATTCACAGTGGACGGGTAAACGTTACTACTGAATACTGGTAGATACATCAAGGGTACATCTTAGTAACTCTAACTTCTTAAGCTGGCAAGGCTGGAAGAGAAGTTCTGATGAATAGCAGCACAAAATTATTTAGAACTCTTACATGTTCTTACATGACATTGGGTACCACATAGGTTAAGTTAATCACTTGACAGTCAAAGGAGCCTCGACTTCCTTTCTCGGAGCTGAACACAATGAACTGGTGGTGTGGGAGGAAGTTAGCTGTCTTCAGTCATGCTTAGTGTAAACAACTCCATAGTACAAAAAGACGCAATGGGCACCTAAATAAATCCTAATGGGTACAGAACTCTCTCTCTCCCCCCCCTCCCCCCCCCCCTCTCTCTCTCTCACACACACACACACACACCCCTCTCACACAGTTTTGTTGGTGGCATCAAATAAAAAAAACAGTGCCACACATGAAAAAAAAAATGCTACAGTTTGGGTCAAAGATTGATATTTTTTTTTTTTTTTTTTTAGCAAACTGCTTGGTAATCTACAAGCTCATTTTGTTTTGAGACATTCCCATCTTTTCATTTTGACATTTGTGCAAGAGGCAAGGTGAATGCATACATATTAAAATGTTCACATTTAATGGGAAGACCACACATAATGGCAGTCTAAATTGAACCCATTTTCAAGTATTTGTTCAGTCTTCTGAGTACTGTGTCAGCTCTTTCTACTGGCGAAGGGAGCCCTTCCAGGCTACACACCCCTTCAGCGTCAAACAAGAGAAATGGAATGACCAGAACCTCCCTTTGCTTCAGGCAAGTACACAGAAGCCAGGATGCAGTAGCTACATGTGGCAAGTTCTGATGTTACCAAAGTTACAGAGTTTCTTTGGCTACTTGTTTCTCTTAAAATACAAGCAGGTATCTTGTCATAAGGTACCCTCACAGCGACCTCAACAACAGGGACAGGATAAAGCCACACAAGAATAGCACACTTGAGGCCTAGTAAGTGTATTTGTTCAGTGGTCTGACCGATGTGGTTTGAGGAACAAAGGAAGGCTTTGGTGGCACATCAGGTTTTAAGGATGGTGTCCTCTTTAGTCCCGTCCTGGGTAGGGTGCCATTACTGGTATAGCTGCTCTGTCTAGAGAGGGAAGGCTGCAGGTGGACACTCACGGGTGTCCCCTGAATGTAGTCCACCTTCGCCCCCGTGGGAGTAGGCATATACCCTCCACGGTTCATACTCGGCTGTCTGGATAATAAAACACCATTAGGTGAGTTTAAGTTTTTAGGCACGGCTGATATAGAGTGCCTCTGGGAGGAATTTTTATGATAACCCCTTTGTCTTTCCAGAGATGTCATTGGAACCCCGGGAGTGGTAGGGACATCGACTCTCTTGGTTGGACTATTTCTGGGGAGTGTTGAGGGAGGGGAGTACAGAGATGCCTCCCGGTTAGGGACCTTGGGTGGGACCTCAGACATAGGTCCTACGGGGTCCAGCATGAGGGTCTGATGCGCCATATGGATTTCTCCCATGATGGCTTTGGGGTTACTGTTTGGGTCATTCAGATGCTTCAGGAGGTCGTTAAGGGTGTTTCTGGAATCCACAGAACGCCGGTGCTCCCTCTTACTGGACTTTGTAAGAGGGTGGTCGATGTTCTGAAGCTTCTTTTCGGCTTTGTGAGCATTAGAGTTTGAAAATGACGTGTTGTAGTCGTGGGTGGCGTTTGGAAGAACAATAGCGCTGGGGATGTGCCCGTGACTTAGCGGGGAGTGGGGTGGAGGACTGGAAGGAAAACACTGGGGGTGTTCTCTCCTCGAAGCACCGTGGCCATGGGCCTTGTCCGAGTGGCTCTTCATGGCCTGCAGGGTCTTCTGGTGGAGCACAGGCGTGGACTCGGGTGTGGGGAGAGCAGCCAGCTCTGGAGGCTGGCCTCGATGCTCCATGACCATGGATTTTGTATCCGCGTTGGGTGGCAGCTCCTTCCGACTGGTCAGCAGGTTGCTGTAGAGTTTAGGAGAATCAATGTTCTGTTGGTATTCCTTGACGGGACTGTCAAAGAGGCCATTCAGCTTGGCAAAGCTTCCACTGGAGTCGGTGCACGACTGGGCTGATTCGGCGTCTTTATGGATCTTTCTGTTCTTGCGAACGAACATGTCACGGTAGCAGTATACAGCCACGCCTGCAATGAACGCACCCAGGACGAAAGCTGCGAACACACAGGTGATGAGGACGTTCATATGGACCATCTGGTTGGAGTCTCCAGATTGAACTTCCCACCGTACACCTGCAACAGATATGGGAAGACTTTGAACGAGGTGCTTTCCAAACAATGATAAATACAAAAGTGCTTACACTGAACCAATGCTATCTTCAAATGCCCTATAGGCCTAGCTTATAGGATCAACAGATCCTCACGTTTCCCATCTATTTCCCCTCCCCCTTAAATCACACTACAGTCTCCAGAAACATATATGCTTGCTGCGAAAGGCAACATGACTCTTATCTTCCATTTGGCATATATCCCCCCTCCTTTCCTCCAATCTCCCTTAAGCAGCTGTTAGGAATTTTAAGAGTTTCTATCTAAAGAGAGGAGTTAGAGTATGCCAGAAAACATTTACCTTACGCTTCTCCCCTAATTCCTAAATCAGGACTAAAGAGTTGCAGCTGGAGTTAAGGCAATGCCTGAATTAGCAAAAACACACATCACGGTAGGTAAAAGAGCTATGCTAATACAGTTGTGTTAACCAGAACAAAAGCGTAGCTGGCTACAAACTAAAATCAGGTCCTTGGTCAGGGTTAATTACAATGTACTCTGGCGCATTCTCGTCTTCACGGATCTACTTTGAAATTTCATCTTGGGATGAAATATTCACGAAGTAGCTACTATGTAAGAAAGCCGGGCAGTGTGAGAAAATCATCTATGTATTAGTTTCAGAAATATCGCTAAATTATCTGGAGGTATTTGAGGAATACTTAAATTAGACCTAGGGAGTGAAGAGTGAGTTAGTTGGTAACCACTGGAGATTTTAATGCAACCACAGACATCTAAGGATCGATTAAAGAAGGGTTAGATTAAGAGGTATTCAAGTCCATTCTGTGTTATCCATGCAACTATCCCAGAGTAACTGAGTCCGAGCGAGTGGGAAGGTTCTCTGGTGTTAAGAGAGTACTACTAAGGCCTTTAATATTAGTTGGTTTAAATCAGCTGTCAATGTTATGGAAATTTCATGGCATTGTGAAAGACCAGGAGAGAGAGGAAGAAAGAAATGGTATTACTGAAGAAATCAACAGAAATAATGAGTATAAAATTGTTTTCAATGAAAATATAAAAAAAAACAAAAATCAACAGAAGTAAATCATAAATGACAAGGCAATGCGGTAAGAACTGATTGGAAACCTGATACCACCGTGTATGCACAAAGGGATAGACTTCTTTTCCCCAGAGGAGTAAATCTAATAAGCAAATTGGTCAGGCAGCTTTTAAACTTCATCTATTATGTGCCGAGAGTAGTAATTATGGACAAGCACTATGTCATGTTTTATGGCTTGTGGCATCTGAGTGACATGTCACTCCACATAGCCTTTCCGCATCACAGGTCCAGCTGAAGCTAAGCAAGGGGCAGAGAAAGCCTCCTAGATAGATAGAATTTTGGTAACAGGATATTTGTCATCTGAGTTTTTTTTTTCATTTTTTTTTTTTTGATATCAAGAGGGTGACCCTCAAAATTCTCTGATATTCAGCAGGCTCTCAGTGTCTCCAGGCCGAAACTGGCGCAGATTAGAATGCCTGAGTGGCTCTTTCAGGAGCTATGTCTCGGGTAGGAATGCACTCAGACTTTAACCACGGGGACAGCCAAGTCACTGTGGCCAGAGAACCTAGAGGAAGGCACCTCTAGTTCTACGGAGCTTCACCTCTGAGAGCCGTGCGAGGAGTCAGGTTTCCATGCAGTTGGAGAGGAGGTGCCTGGCCAGGCCTTACCCTTTGGGATACCTGATATAGTATCAGTAAAATCAGAAGTGTATGGGCCATCTTGAACTACAAATTTCCGGGAGCTCGTCAGTTTAGGTCTCCAGGTATCAACCACTTTAGATGTAATTTCTGGGCTACTTGCCACAGTGGCAACAGAAGATGAAGATACCTCCATGTCTGTGGTGGCAAACACAGATGTCCATTAACACGGCTAGCGTTGGAAGAGTTTTCTGATTGCTTTGTTGCACTTTTACCGTCTGAGAAATCCTGCCTAAGAACTGGGTTAAAAGCACACCAGGGGGACTATTCCAAATCCTTGTCATGTAAGAGAAGTGTAAAAACTAAAAACGGACAAGGAGGACAAGTTTATGCAGATTTCAAAAGTAAAGATATGAGAACATTCCTACTGAAGTCTCCTCGTGGAAACGTAACGTGAGCCCCAGCTCGGGATGATCCTGCTTCCCTCCAGATCTTGGGGTTCATTTGATTTATTTGTAATATGTATAGTACAGAGGACTTTTGTGAATGGTTGGGGTCTTTTACCCTTCCCTGGAGAAGCTATAACGGAATTATAGGAAATACCTGGCCAAGGCCAAGCAAACAGCTGATTTTGGACCGGATAAACCAGTTCTGCCTATGAGGCCATTGTGCTTCTCCAGGGCCTCTTGTCCATTTGGAGATTTCTCACTGCACTGAGAGGTCCCATCCACATGCACACAAACCTTGCTGTGCTCTCTGAAATGCCTGGGGAGTTTCTTCCAAAGAGTTAGCAGTAACTCATGCACAGGCAATGGCATTTATACACTGACTAGGGATGCTGAGATCCTAGAGATGGGTCATCCTTTTCTCCTCCCCTGAGGGATAAAACTGATGGGAACCCTAGAAGCAGTGTAGACCAAAGAGCAACTGAACCTCTCTGGATCCATTACCAGCTTTAACCTAGTAGATTTCCACGAATATACAAGCATATGCTTTTAGACATGGTAGAGACTGATCCAAGAGTCCCAGAATTCTAAGCAAACACAGACAGATGTGCACGGAGACCCCACTGTACATCGTCACACATCAAAGTCCAGCTTCATTCACCTGAAGCTTCTCTCACACCACTGAGATCACAACATTCAGAGATTCCTGGGATTGCCACAAAACATTCAAAAAAGATCTTGAAAACTCAGAAATACACATTTTCGCAAAATGTGTATTGTTCATTCCTTGGTCTTATGAAAGGCGGGGAGAGAAGGGGGACATTATGCGGTTCCGTCATCCATGGAACATAGATGGCCAGAGGGAGCATTCACAATGCAAGGGGTTGAGAGAGAAGGAAGCTGGGCGGCCGGCGTGCAGTTGAAATGCGGTACATGTCAGCCCACTTGACTTTCCTTAAGGATGTGCCTGGGTCAGTGATGAATCAATAACATGCTACAATGGGTGGACGGCTGAGTAAGAAAACATCTTTCAGGACCTTCAGAGGGTTTATGAGTCAAAGCAGAAAAATGAAGGGCTGCCAAACTGCGCAAAAGGAGGAGGGGGAGAGGGGCTGAAAATGCTGAACCGAAGGAAAGAAAAGGTTGTTAATTCAAAAAAATTAAAAAAAACTAACCAGATGTTGGACCGCCAAATATTTGGTAATCTGGTGTAGTTGAAGTAGGCAAACTTTCTAAAGGGATTAAAGGAACAAGTGATCAGTGAGAAGCAACCGAAAGAAAGCAAAAAGTTTATGAACTCCAAGTCATAGGGAAAAGTCAAAAGGAAAGACTACAAATTAAAAGTCTACCGGCTAGACTACCTTTCTCTAGATTGCTTTTAACAGAAGTTCAAATGGGGAAGAAAAAGAAAAATTCAGAATCTTTTCTAACGGACCCCCATGACCAAACAGCTCAGCTTTTGTGAAGTTTACGTCAAATGCTAGGTGGTTTGTGTCCCGAGTCATTCTAAAGGCTGGTTGTAAAATAATGTTGGCGTGCAACCGTAGTCAAAAGCAGCAGCAGGAGGGCAGGGAGGCGTCTGTCTTACCGTGGCAGTCCCCTAGGTGGGCCGTGTTGCCGTATTCCATGTCTTGTTCATATCCTCCAGCGCTGTGGTTATGGAAAGCAAAGAAGTCTTCAGTTAACAGCCTTCATAGGGACACAAGGGACAACCAGGACAGAGCCGAGAACACAGACTGATTAGTGACGGTAAGCAGAGAGAACACACTGACGATTCAACAAACTTGCCGAAGGAACTACTTGTTAGTTTATCTAGGATGTTTGAGAGAGTGGAATGTTCTTCCCCAGAATGCACTGCCCTCAAGGGCTGCTGAGTCTAAATCCCGTTTCCCTTGCATATTTTAGGTTTTTCTCTTTTAAAAACTTTGCCCGTACCAGAAAAAGAAATAAAGGAAACGAAAAGCAATATATCTGGTTAGGTGGTCCGGGGTACTTACAGCATCCCTAAGGTCACTCTCTCACAAACGCCCTGGCTTAACCAGCCACAGTACGGGTCCCGTGAGGCAATGCAGGACCTGTAGAAAAACCAGACAAGCTGTGACGTGGATTTTCTTAATCAGCACAGAAAATGCCACTGCAAGCCGGAATGCGCGGGGAAACACCAGCTTACTTTTTACAGGCTCCGTAGCGCTCACAGCGGCTGAGGGGGATGCGCACAACGCAGCTGGAGAAGGCCACGTATAAAGCATGGTGATCTTTGTCCAACTGTAATGAGACGACCTTCCTATCCTCCTCGCTCTCAGCGCTGCACCTGTTTTGTGGGTACGGTTTGAAGATATACACTGAAGTCACACCCACGCCAACGATACATGAGGTGTGTGGGATTTGGCGGCTAAAGCAAGCCAAGGAATTGTGGGATATGGCTCTATGCTTTTGCATAGCCGGGTCCATTTCAAGCTGAACAAAGGGCGTTTAAAAGGGCTGAATGGCATGGCTGCTGTGAAGAGTGTGCTGGACTCTAGAGAAAGAGAAGGATGCTATTCTAACGTGCTTAAGTCCTCCCGTGCCAGAGGCCTCTGGGTGTCTGTCTCATGTGCTCTATTCCTCTCGCTTACTTCTTCTGTATTTTAATTGTCTGAACATTCTCAGCTCCCTGGCTAGAACAAAAAGCTAAACACTTAAGTCTATCCTCGGTGAGCATGCTTACAATCAACTGTACCACACGCGGCCTCCTGAAATAGATCTGCGAGGTAAGATGGTGCTGAAATGTTCTCATTTTTCACCGGTGAGAAAGAAGGGCTGACTTATTTTTAAGCTCATCAGCTGTTCACTCTCCTTGCCCTAGTGGGCTTTACAAAAACAAACAAGCCTGAAAGGTATTTCAAGGGGGAGATAAGTAATAAAAGAAGAAATAAAACTCAAACAGAACCCGTAAAAATCACCACTAATTTAGAAGTCTGAGAGGAAATGGCCAGAGGAGATACACACCAAGCCTTTTTTTTTTTGAGCAGAGCTGAAGAGATTTCTCCTCAGACGTACTTACTTGGCTTGGTTGTATGCTTCAATCTCTTCAAGCAATACGCTGTCATTCAAAGAGAAGGGACTGGTCTTCGCCAGTACTTTAAGCACCACACCAGCTTCAGAGCCAACAAAGATGACTGTGTAGTTCTGATAGGGCCCTGCTGCACGGTCCACTTCGATGGCCGTCAACCTGTACCTAGCAGAGGAGAGAGGCAAGTCAGACCAGGCAGTGGGCAGTCACCGAGCTGTGCGGTAGAAGTAGACTACCCTTGGTCTCACCTGACCCGTGTCTTTGTGAACCAGGGCTCATCAGCGATGGGCGGAACAGCAGAGTCCATCAGGGGATGGGATTTGATGAAAGACAGGGTCTCATCTGGGAAGTCGATGGAAGTTTTGTAAGCTTCCGCGAGGCCGTGTTCGGCACAACAGCCAGGCCTGAAATGCAAACGGCGATCTTCAATCATTCTCTCTCACATAATTGTATTTAAGGAGTGAGCACGCCTTCCGTGGGAAAGAGGTCAAGAGAGGAATGAATGGCAGCAAAGCCAGAGGAGCAATATAATGCTCCAGAATTCCACGGGCCCTTCACATCCACAGGCACAGGGTGTAACAGGACACCATTTACTGACTTTCTGGGGGCTGCCTCAGAGGATTGCCCTGCTGGGAGGGAGGACAGACAGACAGAGGGTTCCAAGGTTCACAGTGGTTTTGTTCAATACAAAAACCTTTCGACTCTTTTCCTTACCTTGGTTTTGGTACTTTGTCTTCGGGGACTGCCGTCCAAACAGAGTCAGGGGTTTTCTGTTCTTTGAATCGCCCTTTGAACACTTTCTCAATGTCGTCCATGCTGAAGGCACAGACTGCAGAGCCGGGAATGCTGAAAAATGAGAAAACCGTGAGGAAGAGGCTGGCAATGGGGGCCATGCCAGGGTCCAACAAGGAGCACAGTGCACCCCTGGGAGGAGCAGGGTTCTGCTGGTTCCCACCTGTTGAGCTGCGTGGTGAAGACCCCAATCACGGTGGGGATGCCATTGATCTGTATTATGTCTGTGATGGACTGCAGGACGTCGAAATAGAAAAAGGAATCTCCGGGGACAGAGCAGTTAAGCCGAGCCTTCAGGAAGGAAGTCCAGTGTTTCTCCAGGACCCGCTGTGAGCCACCCATGTCGTTCTTACAAATGCGAGCCACGCGGGAGTACACAGCCTACCGGGAGACAAAAGCCAAGCGATGGACGAGGTTATGAGCATGGAAGAGGAACATGGCAAAATGCTGCTACTTAGGGGAGGGACAAAAACAAAAACAAACAAACCAACTCGATGTCTGGCTCAAAACTAGCTGCCCCCTCACTGCTTCCGAATAGGAAGCGAGCAGTGGAGAGTTTTCCCCACACTGCCAAACACGCTCCCCAGACATGAGCTAGCTACCATCCGGGCAGAATGAAAACCATGTCTGAACTTCTGTATCTAACTTTTTCTATTGCTTCTCATTTTAAAAAGTGGTGTCACAGAATGTGGTCACAGAAGAGACTGATGTACTCAAGGAGTTCATGTACTTATACAGAAACACTCTAAATTGAATGGGGCACGGGGGGTCCCCTTCTCCATTCTGCCTTTGACATGGGAAATGATGAGACCATCAATGGCTGTCTAAAGAGTGAAAAAGAAGCCCCCACTTTCTGTGGTGATAGAAATGAAAGCCCGAGGAGGCAGCTGTTCCCACTTTGGGCATTGGGAGGTGTTTCCCAGCCATCAGCTGTACCATCAGCAACCCGGTTCCCTTACTCGGCCTCACATGCACTGAAGCAAGCTCTCTAAAACAGGACAGGAGAGCACCCAGAAGTCTGCCAAGGTGGGTGCGATTCCACGTGGTTCAAGTTCACACTGCAGCATATCTAGCTGTATATACTTGCCTTGCCCAAGTTATTGTGTTCCACAGCGATTTCTCGGAAGAAGAAATAGACATAGTTTCCATATTCGATAGCATGAAGAAAGTGTGGTTCTGGAAGAAAATTGAAAACAAACCATTCTTAAGGGATGATTCAGTTAGTGTAAGACCCCCAGCGGCCAGGTATGCTGCATAACTGCCCTTGCAGCAATGATTCCTTGGAGTCCCAACATGGGTGTGTTCAACTTCAGGAGCCTGTCTTTAAAGTCAGCTAATGGACTGTAAACACGGCCTACAGGGAACTGAACTACAGCAAAGGTCTTTGTTTCAACAGATTTGTTCATTAACCTATTTAGCTAGGGAAGGAAACCTCATATTGAGATTTTTGTTTTTAAACCTCGGAAGAACAAAATGACTCTACATGACTTAACTCATTGGTTCTCACTACTAACGTTCCAAGATGGGTGGACAGGCAAGGGAGGGTAGATAGTATTGCGTGCATTTGGAGTGAGACAAACTGATACCCGAAGACAAGGCCTCTCTTTAGCTGTTGGATTTTGCTTCGGTCACTTGCATACTGGCCTGGATGAATGTCCCTGATGACATGTCGACTGGTCTGATCATTCCCTGTCAATGCCCCATTCATAAGCAAAACACCACGCGCTTATTCTAGATGAGCAATCAAAAGTCCTGCCCTGAGCTCCCTGGTGGCCTTGGCCATCTGAGCATCCCCAGCAACCCAACGGCATTGCTCCTCACGGGTACCTTTGATCCATTTGGAATCATATTTTATTGTGCGAAGGGCAGATCCATCCCCCATGCTTCTGTAAATGACAGCATCACTGGCCAGGAAGTCAGCCACTGTGGCAGAATAGAGCTTCCCATCTGAAACCAGAGTTATAATTTGGTAAAATAACCATAATTCCCTACGGCATGTCAGCATGGTCACCTTCCGCAATGTTTCACCTGTCACCATTCATTATCCGTGCAGTAACCCACACCTGGGCTCACCCTCGCCCTCTAATTGGCTGTCCTACGATATTACCTACTTTGACAGATGAAGGGTCTACACACCAAAAATTAAGCAATGTATTCAGGGTCAGCAGCTTAGCTAATGACAGAGCCACGTGCAAGAAGGCTTATATCCCAGTCACTGAGATACTCTTTTTTTTTTTTTTAATGTATTCTTCCTGACAATTTGCTCAACTGGCTTTAGCTGCTGAAATGCTTATGTCAAAGTATCCACCCAAAGTCTGAGCTTTCTCCTTCCTTTAAATTCTTATCTACCTTCAATGTCATTAATCCTTGATATTCAGAACACCACAGCTTCTTACCAGCAAAAAGGGCAACGTTGGTTTGTCGGGCATCAAATGGGCAGCGTGCCAGGCCGCTAATTTCTTCCCCATCATACTCTAAGGTATTCAACTGCAAGAGGAAAGAAAAAAATAGCTGGTGTCACATCTGTTCAATGTACTTATTTGAAGGCAATATTGCTTTATTTATACTGAAATTCTATTTGAGGGATTCTGCTTTGCATTCTCTTATAACACGAGAGATAAAACAAATCACTGGGTTACAGCACGGAAGGTTCAGCTCTACTAGCAAACCAGTGAAGGATAATATAGTTGAAGGGGAAAAATAAGTCATCATCTAAAACATGCTTACCCTATAGTATCTACACATCGGGTTGAAAGCATTGGTACCACAGACAAAAACCATCTCATCGTTTCTTGGAACAAAGACTTTGATGAAGTTGTGGCACTCATCCTAAGGGAAGAATAAGTACACGGCTGTGAGACATCTCCTGTGCTGATGTTATGATGGCGAGCCCACAAAGCGGGGGACATAGCAGGCACACAGCCGCCGCACTCACCTTATGCTTGCCTTTCATCGCGCAGTTTTCTCGATCCTGTTGTCTGGACCTCCACGTCAGCTTCTAGATTAACCAAGTAAAATCAAAGTTCAGTTTTAAAAGGCTGCGCTTTTGGAGGGGGGCGTGACTGAAGTTCAGAGGGTGTGTGAATACATTTGCCCTCTTGTAGCTAGCGGCTCACCTTGCTTGGTATGACCTCTGTTTTGGGGATTTCATTTAAGTTCACTGTATAGACTTGATCTCTGTTGGAAACAAGGCAGTAAGTCATATCACGTGAAGGCGTAGGTGCTGAGCTTATTTCATCTTTACAGAGCTGCCATGACTGCTCTTTGAAGATCACCAGGCTTTTCCGTGACTTCAGCGAAGTCAACAGAGTACTGTTTCATTAGTGAGCTACTTCTGTGAAATCACCACAGTCAAGGACCAAAGGAGGCCCTTGCTTCCAGGCTTGGACAAACTGACAGCGCTTTAGCGTGGCCCTATTACTGATATTTGCTCGAATAATTCTAAGTTAGAAAAGAATAAAGGATGAATTTTCCCCTGCTGCTTTAGGACAAAAGAATGACGTGTGATTTCTGGACGTGTCACAGAGGGCCGTGGCTCTGTATTCTGTGCCTGCTACCCAGCATGCTCTTCATGGACAGTATTTTTGGCTACTTGCAATTCTTGATCACAATCACATATTAGTTTTTCATGAACTAGACACATTAATGCAAGCACCACAAGAGAAAAGAATTTTAATCTAATAAACCAACGAAAGGAAAATTACCTGCCAGCAATATAAAGTGTGTCTCGAATTTTCAACATCAGCTGAAAGTCCAGCCTATGCTGCGATTCGTTGCCTGAAGGGCGTCCTCTAAAAACCGGATATTGCCTTGAATCTGCAAGTAAAAACAGGCTAAACCATCAGTCAGGATTACAGAGTTGAAGAATCAATAGACAGCATTGATTAGCTGTATATAGTACTTGTAGGAAGGGTTTTAACTAAATTCCTCTCTTAAGGTCTTGAATATAAATTAGTAAAAGATGGAGAATGTCAGTAAAATGGTCTTTTTCTTTTTTACTGAAAACACACAATTTTTACATATGGGCTGCCGCAGGACAGCACCCAGCAGAACTGGCTCCGTTTCTGCACGGTCGAGGAAAGAAACGCAGATGATTTATTATTGTGCAAAACATTGTAAAGACGTATTAAAATCTGTCTCTGGTGCTGAAAATGGATATACACAGAAGACAAACTTAAGGTTTCCTTTGTAAATGATGAGGCGGCTTGGGACGACTTACAGTGATAATCAACAGTGTTAAGGGGCTCGTCGTCTTCAGGGAAGCTGACCGCCCGTAACCTGGAGGCCAGAAGGAACAGCACGCAGAACCATAGCAGAAAGAACCTCATGGTTGGCCAAGAAGAAATCTGAGGGCCGCTCCTCAGAAATCCCACCTAGCTACCTGGAAGACAAAAGCATCATGGAAGACCTTTATGCGGTGGGGAAATCACCTTCTCTGTAGACGATTCTATTTTTTGCCCACCTCTTCCCATAGCTCCCTGTCTACAGAGATACCTGGCAGCGGCAGACAGGTATCTGCTAAAACAGACAGAAGGCAGCGCTCGGCTAACACCTGGTGAACATATTGATGCTTTAGGTTCATTTGCCAGGATTTTGGAGGCAACTCTGTGTCGTAGTGGCAAAACCACCAGATCCACAAACAGAAGTGTTGGCTGCTGACTTGGCAAGGAAGCCGGTAAAGTAGGGATCAGAATTTTAACTAAACTCCAATCTGTATCCCTTACCCCAGTTCTGAAACACATAAATACAACACGTCTCTTCCTCCCAGGAAAGGCCCAAGCTGCCTTGAAAAGCCAGAGCTCATGACCTTGCCCTCAGCCACTGGCTTTTTGCACCATCGCCCAAGCCAAGCCACAGTTCTGCATTCTCAAACAGGTGTTTTGAAGACTGGCTTGCAAAAAGAAATCAGTGACCTTGCATTAGGGCGAAAGGGATCGAAAAGAAATAAGACAATTTTGTGAAAACCAATTGGTAAAGCAGGAGGTGACAGAGTGGGCCGGCTGGTACCAAGCTTCTAGGGACACCGACATTCTACCATAAAACCACTCAGGAGCAAACCAATGTCCTAAGTCCACAGTCCTCTACGCTTTATTGGAATTTGAGCTGTAGGGGGCCTTAGGAACCATCAGTCCCGACACCCTCCTTTGTTAGATGGGAAAACTAAAGACTGGCAAAAGGCTGGATTCAGTCCGACTTTCATGGAGCCTCAGGGGCAAGGCTGGAGTCCAGAGCAGTCAGCTGAGTCCCTGACCAGACTCTCCGCTCCAAACCGCAGAGAGAGAAATGGATGTTTTTCCTTCAAACAGATGGCATTTTGAGAGGAATGGCTATATTCGTCATTTCTACTGAAGTTATGTTTCACAGATATTAAATCACACATTAAATATGTACAGTTACTGTAGATCAATACCCCAATAAAACCATGAAAACAGAACAGAGTTAAAAAGATCTGTGTACGTTAGCGACTCATTGATAAAATGAATTGTGTTTTCTGGGCCGATGGGAGCGTCCCCTCTCTGGGATTCTAAGGATTTCATCAATGCCATCTTCTCACAACCAGAGCTGTCACGACACTCAGTGATCAAAAAAGGGCTCCCTCTGTACACCTAAGAACTGTGGGGGCAAATGATAAAAAGCCGTCTCAAATTCTGGAGAATACAATCATTCAATAAATTAAAAAATGCGAATATGCACAGCACACACTATTTAATTTGAACAAAAGCAAAAGTCAAATACAGATGAGTAAAACTGTAATTTTAAAAGCAGGCCTAGTTTTATATGGCGAGAATAATGCTTTAATAAAATCTCTGTTAATAGATAATGAGTCCAGAAGTGAGTTAATAAATAAAAATGCTTCACAAAAAAAAAAATGGGTGAATGGAAATGAATCGAGCTTGCAAATGGATGGAACTCTGCCACTGCTGGCTGACTGACCACAAACGATCTCTAGAACTGGTCTCCTCTATAAAATATGGGAATAGCAAGCCGGGAGGTGGTGGTGCACACCTTTAATCCCAGAGGCAGGTGGATCTCTGTGGGTTCAAGGCCAGCCTGGTCTACAAACAAGAGCTAGCTCCAGGACAGATGAGCAAATGCCTGCCTGTTGTACAGTAGAATCTAAGCATGTTAGCACTGTGTGCGACCAGGTTAGTCTCCAGAGTCTGGACACCGTCTAGTGAAAAGCCGTGCTAAAAACTAATGGCAATTAGTCCAATTTCTCTTACAAATAAAAGGCTGTTTTAAAAAACACCAAAGGACTATGTTGAGAATAGATGTTACAGCTCATACCCACTTATCAGCAAACCTTCTCTTGAGAATTTTACCAAGCCAAACCCATGACTGTATTTCTAGTATTTCTGCCTCACACGCTTTCGGCTGTGACAGCACAGCCTTATTCCCCTTGCCACATCTTCTGAAGCAGCCTCTCCGGGTCTTGTCTCTTATGCTTTCTGATTGTCAAGATCCCAGACGATTCTAGCAGCCTAAAAAGACTAATGATGCTCTAAGCACCAAGTCTGGCTGTGGCTCCAGTCCCGAACTGTATCTTCTGGATGGAAAGTCACTTGGCTCTTTCTGCCCAGAATCATAAAAAAATGATCTCCAACGCTCAACTGCTCCTAAAGAAATGTGGCAAGACGCGTGCAGAAACAGAAAGTTGTGTGAGGCTTTCTGCCACGGCTCAAACCAGCCAGGCAGCATCTGAATTTCCCCACACAGGAAGTGGCCCTCATCTTCAAGATCTTAAGCCAGGTCATGCTGACTCATAGCTCGCCCCTAGCTAGGGCTGTGCTGTCACTTCCTGTAGCACCTCAGCTGACATTCAGAGCCCTTCTCCCCATGCCCTGCCGCAGAATCAAGTACACCACCAATGGCTTCCTGCCAACAAAGCAAGTTCTTTAAAAAAAAAAAAAAAAAACAATCCATTCAACCCAACCTTCAGCCACCTCACCTGCAGACTGACGACTGTACAGTTCTCCCACTCTACCTGTTTTCAAGAAAAGAGAAGGTGATCCTGAGCTAGTTGTCTCCAAGGTTAAACCACTCCATCCTGCAGGGGAACTACCTAAGTAGGGAGGTGAACAACAACAATAGAATAGCTTCCAGAACACCCTAAAACTGACCAGATTTACTAGGCCCACCCAGCAGGAGGAAGCAGGAAGCAGCTGCAAGGAAGACTGAGGGGGGAAAGCACAAAGAAGACTCCAGAACAAGAACAGCTGCCTGGAAGAGCTTTAGGTCAACTGAGGCACCTGGGAAAGACACTCTCCTGCCCGTTGAGCTGCAGGCGGGCTGTGAAGGGTGCTCCAGGTTCCCAGCTTTTGTAGGCTGTCACCCATGCTGGGATGGGTTTAGTTGCTGCAGCTGTCTTTTGAGTTATTTATGTTCCTATAAGTAACCAGTCCCTTACCCATATTCCTGTAAGTAACCACAATAAAATGCATTGGTTCACCAAGTTGGGCTTTGGTGGTCTATTGTGGGTTCCCTGTCTGAGGGGAGAAGAGAATTTTGTTTTCTCTCCCCAGGAAACTATTTGCCACACAATAGGTAACAGTACTTGTGAGAAAAGCAGCATCACCCAGTCACCCAGAGAGAACTATTCACACAGTTCAGTATTAACCACCCATTGCTAGACATTCCAACCCTATGTGGAGAGCAAGTAAGAAAACTAGGTCTACAGATACACTATACATTAGAGTTATCAAGCGTATATTCAAGGAACAATGCTGTGTGTAAGCGTGGCGGTACCCATGGTGTATGTGTACGTGGCGGTACCCATGGTGTATGTGAACGTGGTGGTACCCCTCTTTAATCCCACTGCTTGGATCTCTGATTTGAGGTTAGTCTGGTTTTCTTAGAGAGTTGCAAACTAGCCAGAGCAATGTGTGAGAGTCTGTCTCAAAACAAACAATGCAAACCTGTGCAAAATTTACTGAAGGATAAAGGAGACAAAGGGAATGTCACCCAAGAACCAGAATCTATAGAGCAGAATTAAGTGGAAATCTTACAGCAAAATCTACATGCAACTAAAAAGTCTTAATAACTGTGTTTAGTAAGGAGTTGGTGGTCACTGAAGAGAATTATCAGTGAACTGGAAAATAAGTTGAAAGAAGTTATCAGACAGAAATATGGAGAGGGCCGGTGGTGGTGGTGGCGCACACCTTTGATCCCAGCACTCAGGAGGCAGAGGCACAGGTGAATCTCTGTGAGTTCGAGGCCAGCCTGGTCTACAGAGCGAGTTCCAGGACAGGCTCCAAAGCTACAGAGAAACCCTGTCTTGAGAAACAAAAATCAAAAAAGAAAGAAAGAAATATGGATAGCTAATACTGGAAAAGGCAAATCAGAAGAGTAAAAACAAAAAAAAAAAACACATGATATTTAGAGAGAAAAATAACAGAAGGAATATTTAGCAAAGTAATGATACTATTTTTTCTGAAATTGACAAAAGACTATAAGCTACCCATTAATAAAAACTTTAAGAACTTCTAAATAGAAAGAAAAATCATACTTAGACATATTATACTGTAGATACTAAAAAACAAACTTAAAAAAACATTAAAAGCTAAAAAAGATGTATTACCTTCAAAAGAACAAGAATGGTCCTGACAGCTGACTTGTCGATAGAAATGATGGAAGGCAGTAGACCATAGAATGAGATTTTTAAAAGTGTTGAAAGAAAATAAATTTCCAGCATAGAATTCTGTGAGCATTGGAGGCAGTTTTTTTTTTCTTTTTAAAAAACACAAAAATGTTTTATACAAACAAACCTTAAGAAAGTTTCTGTTAGCAGATCCAAACTCAAATGGAGGTTTTAGGCACAAGAGTTTACACAGAGGTCAAAGCAATCCCTTTTTATATTCAAAATGCAGAGATCATATTTGAAACCCATGACTCCCAGATAAAGAAGCTAGTCCCTAGTCTGTGGCCTTCTGAAAGCCCTTTGACATCCAGGAAAGAAAGTTCCATCCTACCTGTGACCCAGTCACCAGGGCTCAATGGGGAGCACTTCAGCACCGTTGAGTCCTCCTACCCAGGATCTAGGACCTAGAAGCTGAACTGCTTTCTTCTGGCTTCCTGATGACTCTTCTGGCCCTTGAGCCTTCCTTGGCTTTGCTTGTCAAGGCTCACGTCCTTCTTCCCTTTCAGTATGTCTGATAACATCTCAGTTTTTCTAGAGCTTTCCAAAGATTTTAGTGGTTCCCTCACTCATGAGTCCACCCTGTGATTCCTTCTCTGAAACTAGGAAGTCAAAAGCCAAGCCTGGCTCAGCTAGATCCTAACCCTCTGGTCCTCGCAGCCTGCTTGCTTCCCCAATTCCATTCTCGCTGTTCATTCTTCTCATCGGAACCTTTAGCCCACTAGCTGGTCTTTTCTCTCTAGTCT